TGGCTCTACTTTATCCTGCCAAGCCTGATAAAAATTCATAGATGTTTTAAAATGAAAATACAATAAAATTTAGTTCCTTAAAGTATCTAGCAGGCCAACAAAAAATAATAACTGGGAAAGCTCACCCTGGTTTGTGTGTAAGTCTCTGATTTAGTGTTATAGATGTGACATGAGTTTGGAGAAACCATTTTCATGTTCCAAGAGTGAGATCACTCTGGATGGAGCCCAGGCCTTTAAATCAACTCTACCTCATAGCAAACTGCCCTTATCAGTGATAAGGACTTTTGTGAATGACAGTCTTCCAAAATTCAAAACAGTATGTTGGCTCTGTAAGCAAAACTGTATTTTACTTTGGGAAATCTTCAAGAACAGCAAAAAAGTTCCCATTGTGATAACTTAATATCCCACTAATAGTAGAAGAGTTGTGGTTAGATGCTTGTCTCGCCTCCAAAACTGATGTTGACAACTTGATTCCTAACGCCATAGTGTGGGGCTTTAGAGGTTGATTAGGTCATGAGGACCACTCTCATGGATGGGTTAGTGCCTTGTAAAAGGGTTTGAGGGACTAGCTGCAACTTGTTCTTCCTTGCCTCCTGCCATTTGACACAGCACTTACCACTAAACTGCTAGAGGACACAATAGCCAACCACCACCTTAGAATCAGATATGGGGCTCTCACCAGATCACACTACCCCACTAGAGGACACAATAGCCAGACAGACAACATATTAGAATAAGATATGGGGCTCTCACCAGATCACAAACCTGATAGTGCCTAAATCTTGGACTAAATGACCTCCTGAATAACAACAAAAGACATTTTAAAATTAACATTTATAAATTACCCAGTCTTGGGTATTTTATTACAACAGTTCAAACCAAAACACAAAACCCATTTCAGAAGGACACTATGGAGAAACAACAGATGGAAGAGACTACTAACATGTGAGGGAAGAACAGGGCAGAGTCAATGTGGTCCACTAGTTATAATGAAGATGAGTCAGGGATTGAAACATAAAACATTCATCATTGCATCACTGCAATGAACATAGTGCTGTTCAACTTTTTTTAAAGCCAATGTCCCAGTCCACCACTCCATGTTGACAACCCATTGTCACTGGGCACATTTCTCATTTCCTCCTGTTTTACTCTGACTTGGTAATTATTCTGGATTTAAATGTCCTTAGAAACACAAACCCACATATAAAACTGATATTGATAAATCCCCATTCCATCCCCCTTGATATTGGAGAGTATTTGATTTAAAGAAGTATAAGGAGGCTTTACACTAAGCAGTGGGAATTTTATAGGTGAGCCCCACCCACCATTGATAAATGGTATGATTGATTACGTCTTGCCAGGGTGTTTATTACTAATTTATGCAAGTAAATCTACTGAAATGAACTTAAATATAAAACAGCAGTTTATTAAAATTTAGAGTATCAGTGACAAGATTGGAGACCATCAGCTGCTAAGCTCTCTGGGTATGAATACAAGGTCTAAAGCTTTACAGGGAAATCTTCCTTCTCAGAGGAGAGCCAAGAGGAAAACGTCTCCTCCAGGGCCAGAGCCCAGGCATCATTCTCTTAACCAATAATTCAAATTCCTAAGATGTAAATTTCTAACTCTAGCATAATGGACATGCCATTAATAAGATCACTCATCCCAATGAGAGACAAACTGTAATATTTCCAACGAAATTATTGATATTTGAAAAACTCCACTACTGTTGATTAGAATTCTGTACTCGGGCTGCAGTGCTAGCAGCCAGTGCACAAGCGGTAATTACAGAAAATCAATTCTGTTTTAAAAGATCTGTCTTGGAGTGATTTCCACACATTTGTTCAGTCACATCTAGAACCAGCTCCTGTTATTAAAGCAAACAAATATAGGAGTGAACTTAGGAAACTAAGTGGGCACACATCAGGAGTTAATACCAAAACAAAAATAACAACAGTGATCCAGCTCTTCGAGAAGTCTCACCTGGAAAACTAAGCAAAAGCACAATGCCATACAGTTTTGTGCATTGAGAATTGGCTCTTTTGTATATTATCTCACTTAACTCCTCATGAAATCATGGACATGAGCATTATTACCATGCTCACAAACACTGAACAAGCTCACCACCATCCAGCAGCCTACACGCATGTGTGCTTACCCCTGCACAAAGCTATCTGGAGACATGGATGGAGTCTTATAGGAGGTAGTTCAGAGTAACAGTCAAGATTACAAGTAACCAGTTAAAAATCTCCACTTTGCCATTTACTTGCTATGTGACTCAATAATGAATGGACACCTCCCTTAGCCTCAATTTCTTCATCTATAAGATACAGAAAGTTGGGCTGGAGAGATGGCTCAGAGGTTAAGAGCACTTACAGCTCTTCCAGAGGTCCTGAGTTCAATTCCCAGCAACCACATGGTGGCTCACAACCATCCGTTATGAGACCTGGTGCCCTCTTCTGGTGTGCAGATATACATGGAACCAGAATGTTGCATATATAACAAATAAATAAAATCATAAAAAAAGATACAGAAAGTCTATCAGGGTAACATGTGATGTTACCAGACCACACAGCTGGTGAAAAGCAATGGAGGGAAGATATATATTTACCTAATATGAGTACCTAGTTGTGAGCATTGGTCTCAAATGCTGAATCATTAAGCATATTATAAAACTATATCCCCATCTACCCTTCCCAGCCTATCCCTGGAGGCCCAGTTAATACATTCTTGATTTTAAGATCTCTGAGCACCTTTTTTGATGATTGGCCCTTCAACAAGCCTGCTGCTCAAAAGGGGGTTATAGTAATTTCAGGGTGCAGTGTTATGCCCTAGGGCCCAATTTGTTCAACTTTGGGTCACAATATAATGTAGTCCTACATAATGGTATGTGGGCATTGCACTCTGAATGCACAACAACAAAATAATTTTTTTTAAAAAACCTCCAAATCTTAATAAACGAATGGTCTTCTGGCAGCACCTGACTGTGTCTCCTGACTTCAAAGCAGCCTCATTTCTGAACACACAATATGCATGCTTGCACTGGGTATGTCATTACGTTTGTAAACACTGCCTAAAGACCTCAGCCTTTATTTGAGACTATTCAACATTGTGTATTGTTTTCACTGTATGTACAAAATGTTCTGTCCTTATGGAAACAGCCTAAGTATCGAAAACAAGGACTGGATGTTTCCATTGTCTTTCTTCAGCATGTAAATAACAAATCTGTACACTTTTGAACTGTTTTGTTTTTAGAACTATTGATTTTTGAAATTGCTGTTTGAATTGATAATTTGACTTCATAAAACAATCATTACATGAATTATTATAGCTTGTGATCAGAACAGAATTTTCTACAGTTTCTGAAATGCCCTAATCATGCTTTTGCCTTCTGTACAAAACAAAGTGTCTGCCTTAGCATTGGTGAGAATAAAATCAAAATATCAGAAACACTGAAGATGTTCAAATCCTCAGTCATGTTTTTTTTGTTGTTGTTTTTTCGAGACAGGGTTTCTCTGTGTAGCTTTGGAGCCTATCCAGGCTGGCCTCAAACTCAAAGAGATCCGCCTGCCTCTGCCTCCTGAGTGCTGGGATTAAAGGCATGCACCACCAAAGCCCAGCTACTCAGTCATGATTTAATTCTTTATGTAAAGGCAAATAAAGATACCCATCTCATTAGTATATACATTTTGTTTTGTCTTTAATAAATGGTACAATTATATGTTTTATAATTGTTTTAAAGTAAACATCTTTGTGTTTATTATCAGTAAATGATTTGTATACCTGTTTCATATACCTATATACCCAGGGTGACACAAAATTTTCCCAAGCAGAAAAGACTTAAGAATCTTGAGCTAAAGTTCTAGTGCACTCTTCTAATGTTATAACCCAAGCCCACAAATGATGGGAAAAATGAAGCCCATCTTTACCACAGCCTCAGGCTGCTAATTTTATGGGGCCTAAGCCTGTAACTCTTGTATTATCTGTGTGCTATCAATGCCTACCAGATATCTCACACAGTAGAAGCTAATAAGCACATATGGACTGGATTTCTAAGAGACATGCAGGATGTGTCTTACAGCTCACTTCACACTGTCATAGAGATATGAAGTGGCTCTGCTGGAGCAGGTTCAAGACAGGGTCCTGGGTTCAAACTTCAGCTGGACCATTAATTACTGAGGGACCTTAGGTAATACATAAGATGCCAATGCCTCTAGCCCCTCGCCTGTGAAATGATAGCGATAGTGACAGGGCGGTTGTACTAAAGTATTATTCCATATAACTGCCACTAAATGGCACTGAACACAATAGGCATTCTCTAAGTATGAGCAATTATTAAGTTTTGTTTATGGTTGTTTTTTTCCCCAACGCAATTCCAGAGACAGTTTTTCTAACCACATAGGTCCATTCTCCTTTCCTGTAAGAAAACATAAAACATGGCATCCTCACTTCAAACTCCAAAATTAATTTGCAACAGAAAGCAAATTACAATGTCAAGACATTGGCTTCCAAAACATTTTCAAAAGAAATGTATTTATAGTGCCTACTCTTAAAATAAAAGTCCTAAGTGGACCCAGATATTCTGTAGTGTGAGGTTGTCCAAATGTCTTATGTTGGAATCCTCCCAGCAGCATTAGTCATGACTTTACACAAATGAAAACAGCCATATTGACTTGCAGAAGTCTTCTCATAAACACATACTCTCTCTCTCTCTCTCTCTCTCTCTCTCTCTCTCTCTCTCTCTCTCTCTCTCTCTCTCTCGTCAATAAAATTAGATCCCACTCATGTGCTGCCCTGAGCCTCCATCATGAACATCATTGCCCTATTAAGAAAAATTAAATCACGTTCTGCCCAAGCTTTGTCTCCCCATCACGTACAGCTGAACATGGCAATCAGGCCTCTCCTGGATTAAAATTCAAACTACTGTATTTAACTAACGATGCTTCTCCCCACCCTGTAGAGGAGAGGAGGCAAAAGGGGCAGTGAGGGACCTCATGTACCTTCAACACAGTAATGTTCCAAGCAAAGCTCTCAATTGCCTTGTTGAGTTTTCTTCCTTTCAAGCCTTCCTTTGCCCCCAGATTATGAAGTTCTTCATGGAACTCCATCCCTTTGAAAAGAACACACATAAAGAATGTTAGAGCACATTTCAGGAAAACATGTATTTGTACCATGAAAATATTGCCAGAAAAAAATATAGATTCACATTCCTGTTACCTCTCATAATTTTCTAAACCCATGAATTGAATTCTTTGCATTTTATTCATCCCATGTAGAAGGCATCTAGGAATAAGTGATATAGGGTCTCAATTTCATTTTAATCAGCCTGGATGCATTGATAAACGCAAGAGAAATTAAGAGGCAAAGCTCCTAGCAGATGTTACTGACCTTACATATCCTTTTCCTGGTTTTTGTGTAGAAGGGTGTAGAGTGTGGTGGTAACCTCATGTGAGTACATGTATATCTTGCTTAAAAGCAGGCCACGGAGCCCATACAGGTAAAACAGTAATTAGAAGATTTGATCCCAAATGAAAAGACTTTAAAAAGCAACAATCTTAGGAACACCCATGTGTTTTATATTTGGGAGTGGTCTTTCATGTACTCTTTGGTCCACCATTCACTCAAGCTTGAATGCCATAAACAACATTGCTGTCATCTGTTTTTGCATCCTTTCTCTCAGAACTTTCAAGATGAGAATCACATTCACTTATGGACAATTTGTTCCATCTTTGGAGGGCTGGAGACTGACCCTGAGCCAAGATCTCCTTTCCCAGAGCTTACAGTCCTCAGTGCTAGCTGGCCTCAAACCAAGGAGGTCTGTTGTCTTATCCAAAGTCCAGTCCTTTATATGTCTAAAGAAAGATACTGGATTAAATCCCCTTGGATCCTCTCTGCACTGCAGTGAGCATTCTACCATTTGTCTGCTTACTGGTAACTCATCTTTCAGGATGGCATCCAGGCAGGGCCACTGGACCAGCCAACTTTCTGGATTTGAGACAGCTGTATCTCAGAATGGACAGTGTCCTAACTGGGCTTGAAGCAGCTCATGCTGGGTAAGGGTTTGCTATTATTCTCCTTGTTCTCATTGCCTTGGACTGTAGCCTAAACCATATTGACTTTCCAGGTACCTGTGTAACAGACATAGCCCATTAGAACCAGTGGGGCACAGTGTGGACTTACATTCTAGTTCACCCATTCACTAGTTCGGTGAGTCTGAACTCCCCTTGGGACTCACAGGGTTTCACTCTCCTCACTGGTGAAATGGTGAGAGAAAGTCTCATTCAGATTGCGGTGACAATCAAATGTGTCAATGCATATAAAACTTGCAAAGAAGTGGCTGAGTTCCTGTATGCATTTGGTTTTTAATTTTTGTGTTTTCTTTCAATTACAACATCTAAGGTTGCTTGCTGGTCAGTCTAGCACCAATTTGCTAGTCTGTGTTGGTAAGTCAACTCTCTTGTGTGTTAACAATGAGACTTTGGATCATTCACCAGCCTATTCCAAGTCCCATCTATAAATGGGACATCGTGCTTAGTTGTCATGGTGATCAGGTAAGGTACTACATGGACTTCAAACATAAGCATACTGATAAAGCAACTGTCAGCACTGCCCTCTGTCTCTCCTTCTCATTATCACTGCATGGGTGGACAGAGGGGCACCTGGATCCAAAAAATGAAGGCTGAGTGACATGAATGAAAGTGAGCATAAACAATCATAGGTGGATATGGGACACCTCCCATCCTCAAAGAAAGAACAAATCTAAAATGAGAATGAGGAAGAAGGGCAATAACACAGAAGTAAGCAGGACTGTGATTCAAATCCTAACTATGAAGTGGGCTTAAAGAGCCACATGAAACCAGTTTCCCCTGAAAACTATAGATGCTGCATGAACTGTATCAATTGTAAGTGGAAGAACAAACATTTTTTGAAGCTGCTATGACTTGTCATTGTGGTTTCTAAACAAAGTAGAAAAAAATTACCTGCTTTCTGACACTGTGCAATCTTTTCCTGCACTGTGTCTGCCATTTCTATGAGGACCCGGCTTTCTTGAATCATCTGTCACAAAACATCAAACAGAAGTTGTTAGAAACCCTTGAACGAGCTCATTGGGAAGGCAATGTTTAGAGAGGCTCTCAAAACACACCCAGGAATGAGGGATCATCATGAGAGATGGGGAGAGATGGGAAATCTCTGTCCCAGGCACCAAGACAAGTGCCACCTTTCTGACAATGGCCCCAGCTGTGTAAAATACCAGACATGCAGTGGGCACAAAGTAATAATTGTTGAATAAATGAATACAAATTATAAATTAGTAATCAAAACCTAAAAACTCGTGAAGGTTTAGACTTAATCAAACTGTTGATTTACATTAACACCTTCAATTTCCATGGAGTGGTGCCCATTGTTGTGGTGCATGCCTCTAACCATAGCCTGTGGAAAGCAGGATCACGAGAGTGACTTCAAGATCAAAGGCAGCCTATTTACCTAGCAAAGGTCAGTCAGGACTATACAGTAAGTTTCAAGTCAGCCAGGGATAAATAGCAAGAAAGAAAAGGAGAGACTATTCGGACAAGAGAAACATTCACAGAGGTTGGACAAACCCCACATTTAACATAGCTGAAGCATGTCACTACTGTTGTCTGGATCTTAACTGTGCCCCAAGGTTCATGTATTAAAGGCTGGATCCCTAGGAATGTGCTGATAGCAGGTGGAGAAAACTTCCTGAGACATCTTCAGGACACTGGAGTATAATCTTCAATGGGACTATGGAATGGAATCCCTTCCTCACTTTCACTTCCAGCCATGAGGTAAATGGCTGACCCTGCCAAGTGCCCTGACTTTTGCCATGCAGCATTCCACTAGAGACCAGTAATCAATGTGTCTGCCTCACCACGCAGACACCTCTAAAATCATGAGCCCCAACAGACCATCTCTCTTTATAAATTGATCTCAGGTATTTGTTATGGTAACAGAAATCCAACGAATATATTTACATACTTTTAAAAATATGAATTTTAAGGCTTAAGGAATCTTAGATATAACAACCAACCCCTTTCTTTGGTAGATACAGAAACTATAAGGTTAAAACTCCTGACCAATGAAAGGAAATGAATTAATGATGGAACTAAACTCAGAATCTCCATTCCTGACACACAGCCTGTTTCCATTTCTGACTGCCACCTCTTTGATTTTTCCTGTCTTCATCATGCCCACATGAGAACACACAGGCTCACACCCAGTAGCATACCTGTTCCAGCCCACATACACAAACAAGGCCATACTCATGATCCATTATAACCAGATTCAATCTTTGGAAAAAATAAAAGGATTACTGGTAAGTTCCTTTGTTAGTTAATTAACTGAGATGACTTTCACCTGTGTGGGTCTTACACACAAACAAGAAAGCATGGCATCACACTCTAGCAAGAAGCCCTGTCTATTGATGAGTGGCTGGTTTTCTTTGTAGCATTTTACTAAGGATCCTCTTTGTGTTTAAGACAAGAGGACATTTCCTGCATTCCACAATGTCACTGCCTCTGTAACAAGCTGAGATGGAAGAGTCCTCTTCACCAACTCTGGCTCCTCTCCAGACCGTCAATGTTATTTCTTACCACATCTCCTGGAGAATCTTTTCTAATGATCCTCTTATCTTTCATTTACATATTCTACCTCTCTCTAGGCTCATCCTCTCTTAACTCAAAATTATCTAACAAAACCACTAAATGTTGCAATAATTATTCCCATTTCCTAATAAAGCCTGCTGACATTCATTGCTTTGACTCTGGGTGAGACTCATTGTGACTGTCAAAATTAGTCCTGGCCATCATCAGTTCTCCCCTGGCTGATTCTCAGTCTCGAGTCCCCAGATTAGCAGTTAACACAACTTATTATCCTCCTTCTTGAGTCCCTGGCTCTACTTCTCATTTCCTTTTCCTTTTCCACTCATCCAGGAAACAACCTGGCCTCCATTCTCTTTCTCCTCTCTGTTAATCTCTCCTTTTGGTATCTTTATTTCTTCTTAGATGCTGTCCCCATTACTGTCATTTCATAGCTAACCTTGCCTTTCTGATCAATCCCAAAATTGTGGTTCACAATTGTGGTTTTCAAGGTAGGAGGTTCGTGGTCCCTATGGCACTTAGTAAGGGTGCACAACAATTTGATGTGTGAGATGAAACAAGATGTCTTTACATTTATTTTATCTGTAAAAATGAAAACAAAAAGATTGGTTGGGCATTCTCACTAAATTAAAGCCTTGTGTTCCCAAGAATGTCACAGGGAAAGAAATTAACTTCATCCTGGAAAGAAGCTGAAAGACAGTTGCCACTCCAGTATTTCTTCCAGAGTATCTCAACTTGCAAATGGCTGTAGAGCAGGAAAGTGGTCCTGTTTATATTATACTGTTCTAAACTGCATGGACTCCAACAGAGAAAATGAAAACAACCTCACAAGAGCAGGTAAACAGCACCTTACCCTACACCCTCCGTGATTACTTCCCCAGACACAACGTGAGCTGAAGAACAATGATGGCTTGATTAGATCTTCCAGGCACACACACAAAACACAGGAAAATGCTACACTGGTTTCTACTCCTGATCTATTTTATCACATACATGCTAGGGTATTAGTATGCATATATAGCTTATGATGAGTAGATTCTCACAAAATTTACAGTGAATACTAAGTACTATTTGTATTACATCCTCTGCTTGCCCTTCCCAATCCAGTCTCAGGCTCAGGCTCAAGCTCACATTAGGGAGGTTTATTACTGTGAGCAGCATCATACATGCGCTCCCACCTTCTGACTTTTCTCAAGATGGCCCAACAAGGATCAAGAGTAGAAGGCAGTAGAGCAGAGGGTTCACATAGCTGCCTCTGCATGGTTCCCTCCCTGCTGGGCTATAGTTTAAGAACTTTCTCTGTGAAAGGCAGGGGCAGCTATAGAAAAGCACTAAGGGCTAGAAATAGCTGCCCCTTGCTTCTGTAGGTCTGGATGTCACCACAGCTTTGCACTGTTGCTAACTGCTAGATGTTCACCACCCATTGTAGCCAAGTTCCTTTTGTTCCCTGACCTTACCCACTTGCTGTGTTTACAACCTCCAGGCCCAGTCCTGTGTTCAGGCCCAGCCTGGGCAGTGTAGTTCTCACCCCTCAACAAAGAAGTTTCTTTTTGTAGCATTAGACCATTATGGAAAGCTGTTGCTGGTCAAAATAGAGAATATCTGGCTGTGGGGTGCCTATCCCCAATTAACATATCCACAACCCAGTTTCTATATGTAATTCCTAGGAAATAGCACAGAAGAGGGGCAGAAATACTGTAAGAGCCAGAGGACCAGGAATACTGCTGTGAGATTGTGTCTCCTAGATCCCACAGAGAAGCTGAACTGATAAATAGTAAAGTTTTCATCCTATCATGACTCAAAACCCTCCATAGATACCAGTTTTCTCTAGAATTCCATTGAAGTTCATACTCACACAAAACTTCCTATTTAGAGTCTCTTTAAGGTTAGGTTATTGTGGACAATACCACTTTGAAGGGGGAACAAAAGCCTAAGCTGAAAGCTGACTCACCCAAAGGCACAGGGTTAGATAAATAATTGAGCCTAGAACACAGGCACTGTGAGCAACACACCAAGCTTATGAGTTACTCTGCAATCAGTGTTGAATTGAGTTTCTACTATAAGAACTGGTTGGGTATCATCGCTTAGTAGCATCTGTCAGGTAAACCATCATGAGAATGAAAGCTTGCTATGGCTGTGTCTCCTTCCAGATAGGATTCCTGGCACACATTAGTCATTATAAACAGTCTTCCTACACAATCTAGCTAGAAGTGCTTTGAGTCACATGCCTACTTGTTTAGGAAGGAACTGGGACTTTGGACAGGTTATTGCTTGAGAATATTTAAGAAGCCATGCAGAACTATTGCTGATCTCTCCTCTTAATACCCGTCTATCTATTGCCTTTCTTCTAGTAAAAAATCAGGTCTTGGGTCTCGGGTTGTGCAGTGGATCATCTGTTTGAATTGTTGACAGTTAGACTTGAGTTCTATCAAACTCAGCACGTTTGCAAACGGGGCTGCTGCTGCATGTGTATTTACTAACTAGATGAGGACAGTTTTCTTTAGTGTCGAGTGCTTTGTGTTAAAGGGGACATATACAAGCATCCTTTGTAGACTGGCATCTTTTTTATTTTAAGCATTCAACCCTGTTTAAGATGGCCAACTCTATATGAAATATAAACAAATATAAAACCCAGAATACCTGCCAGCTACCCAGAAGCCCAGGCCACCTCCTGTGTTGGCAACGATGTGTGCTCCCTGTACTGGTACTGGCTTTGAGTCACACTCCCCAGTCTGATTTATGATGGTCTCAGGACAACAAAACCTGAGAAGAGCAGACCAAAAAACTGTTTCTCCTCATTTGTGGTGACAATTCTACTGCCATGCTTGCTTTCTTTTTAAAGGGACATTGTGTCCCTTTCTATTTCCAAAGCAGCTGTCAACTAATCTTGAGAAATTGCTTGAAATATTAGTTTTGACCCAGCTCTTATTACAATTTATCTCATTCATAAAAACCTCCAGGAGAGGAGAGTTTTATGAACTGCTTTGATTGATGTGAGCAAATATCAGACACAAAAGCAACTGAAAAAACAAAGTTTTGTTTTGACTCATGCTGAGGAGGATAGAATGTCATGGAACAGAAGGTGTGGTGGCAGGACCATGAGGATGCTTGCCCCTTTACTGGGAGACCAGAAAGCCAAAAGAACAAGATGTTGGCACTAGCTAGGATTTTCACCTTCAATTAATCTTCTTTGAAAAATAATCCTTACAAGTATATCCAAAGTTGTACCTCATTCCTGCCCAGGTGTTTCTACTCCAGACTGGCAATCAAAATTAATCAACACATGAAACCTCTCTATAATTTTAAGGCCAATTTGACTACCACACTGCCTTTAACTAAAGTGCTACAAGATTTTGAGAAGTAAAGAACACAATGTCAGACGAGGATGCATGTATGTTAGACCAAATTAACATCCTGAAATCATTGTTTGTTGGCACA